CCCTGTCAGTCAAAGGTAATTGCTTCCCTCACTGGAGTAAAATGTCCTCAGTACATTAACATTTCACAGTGTTTGGATGTTAAAGCTTCAAAAACTCTCTCTTGCCAGGATTGACATGAGTCACAAAGTGAATCATAATTTATTACCAAAGTGAGACTGATCCTCCATAATACCCATCATGCATATATCTCTCATAATGCAAGAGATCAAAGATGGCGGGCGTGTAATTGGATATGATTACATTCATTAGATGAAGAGCAGCCGACAAATCAGGCCTTGTCCTCTGCCAGAAGAGTGGGTCACAACGATCAGTCAGTTAACTCCAAAGAGCAGTCCAGACACACAGACATAAAGTGGGATTACAACATCCAAAATAAAAAAAAACACACTTCTTTAAAAGTCAACAGTTACGTCAAGTAGGCCTTCAGTAAATATAGCAACAGATGCTGAAAAAGCCCCTTGAGTTGATGGTCATACAGGACCTCTAGTGTTTGTAAGTGCTGGACTTTCACTTCCTCCCACAAGAATTTCCAGTAATGACTCAACTTTGATGTTGGTTTCGTTGTTCTTTTGAAGTGTGTTACTGGCTGGATGACTGCATATAGGACTACAAATGAGTCCATCAAACCTCTCAGCAAAGCTTTCCAAACAGAGTTCTGCATTACACTGCAGAGCGTGAAGCACAATCCACTCCAAGTCAACATCCTGAGCTAGGCAAGGAAACTGGCAGGATCAAATCCATGTTTTATGTACCAAATCAGGAATGAATTCTCCCTCTCCATACCCACTCAGGATTAGAGATTGTTCTTTTTCCACCCTCCCTTTTCTTTCTGCCTTTGTTTCACCCTCCTTCTTTCTCTTCCTGCACTCTTCAGAAACCAACACACACACCCAAGTCGGCAATCAGCGGCAGTCTTAAACCAACAACCTTCTAACAATGAAGCACCACTCCTATCCTCCATACTAAAGCCTGAATCGCAAGCTTCATTTTTTTGAATTTATAATCTTCCCAAAAAGACGGTGGTATTTCCAAAAAAGGTTAACACTCCTATAGGGGAAAGATTCCAGGCCCTCAATATTCACACTAGCTGCGTTTACATGGGCACAAATTATCGGAATAAATGCCTGATCTGAAAAAAGTTTGTCATGTAAACATGTTGATCGGAAAATTCTGATCCAATTCAGCTCAATCAAAAAAAATTTGTATTCCGATTGAGAGGGGTGATTTATGCCGATCATTATTCCGAAACGCGTCCATGTTAACACTTATTCCAATCGTGACTCTCTTACCTGACTCGATTAGCCTTTGGCTTAGTTATCGAGGCCAGCACAGGAGGTTTCATTATTAACACTATGGCATAAAACACAACCGCAGGTACGATGCCTGCTCCTCCAATAACATGACAAGGCGTAAAAACAGCGTAATGATATCACATCTGCATGCACAGTTCAACCTTTGACAGAACAGTAAGATAAGTATGCAAGGGCGCCGTCTAGTGACAAGATTTAACAGGGAGAAAACTCCTGAATTGGATGGAGTGGCCCACTACCATGTTTGTTTGTTTGTTTGTTGACAGCACAGGCGTAAATACAACACTTCTTCTGTGGTTGTTTTATTGAAATTTGACAATTCTGCGCATGTCCAAATGCTTCTAATATGAGTAAAGCTTGGTGCGTGTACACGCATGTCATGATCGGATTATTTGATTTTGCACCCATATAAAAGTGGATTCAGATTATCTGATCCCTCAAATTTTTAATCGGATCAAGAAATTTTGCACATGTAAACGTGGCAATTGATCACTGGGCCAAAGCCCTCTATTGCAAGCTTCATGTGTTTGAATTTATAATCCTCCCAAAAAATGGTGGCACTTCCAAACAAAGTCAAGTTCAAGTTCAAGTTTCTTTAATCGCCACGGCTAGGCCGGTGGAATTTTTCACAGTGCAGGTGGTAGCTGCAACAATACACCACATTAATTTAAACAGACATTAAACAATTCACAGTGACATGACATAACATAACATGTGAAACGGGGTACCACGGGACATAAAACACAGACTTCACACACGTCGACCAGAGGAGTCAACACTCCTACAGGGAAAGATTCCCAGAACTTATTTACACTGTTTTACTCGTGCCAGGATTCAAACCTGTGCCTAATTTGCTTCAAGGTATTTGGATTAACCATCTCGCGATTTTGCTGCTCTCCAGCCCTCACTTGTTTAGATTGATCTCCTTCTTAGTAAACTGTCTTCGAAAGCCACAGCAAGGTTGAGAGATTGCATGATATTAAATATTCACACAGTTTGCTTCAAGGCATTGGCGGTAACCTCTGGACTGATGTGTGCCCCGATATCCTCACTCTGCAGTTTTTTTTGCAGTTGATTGGGGTTATTTAAAATTTTGGTTTCAGTTATTCAAGATCTCAAAAAGGCACAGTATAACTTCACATACTGGAATTTAAACCTTGCACCACATGGCTGCAAAGCATCACCACCTACTATCAAGCTGATGGTGTGACTAGCAAGAATTACTTCTTTGAGGCTTCTATACTCTCCTATAGATTAGGGAAACATTCAGTCACGGTCCACTCATCTGTAAGAAGGAAGCCACAACTGTAAACCTTCACATGGTCAGGACCTCTGGGGACACAAACTCACACCAGCTTGCTGTGACACCAGTGCGAACCACAACACTAAATGGCTGCCCTGCACTGATGCATTCTGGGTTTATGGTGATGATTCTGAGGCTTGGTCCAGAGAGGAAAAATACAGAACACTAGAGCTAAGCAAACAGGGCTGGACCTGGAACTGAAGCACTGCACATGCTGATATGTGGGAGCAATACCAACAAATACTCTAAGAAGCCTGAAACTTTCTGTTTGTGTTGATTTTGGCAGGACTGTCTTTTAACAGTCAAGCATATCACTCACCGAGTATCCTCTGTTGTAAATGTAAAATAAAACAAATAAAAGTTTCCTCACAACAGCTTTTAGAAAAATCATTACAAAAAAATTAAACAGTCAGTCTATTGCTAAGGTTTTCATCTTTCTGTACAGGTCATAAAGAGATTTATTTAATTTAGTGTTTTATAACTTGCCAAAAACTCCCCACAGATGCTTTTAGTGCTTTTTTTATAGGTTTATTTACCCCCTAAATCTCTACGATACTGCAAAAGCCTCTGTCCTCTAGTAGGAAGATGCCAGAACAGTCAACCTCCACACAAGACGACCCTGGCTGCAGTACTTATCATCACACTACCAAACCCTTTCAGAGAGCTATTTCACTCAGGCTGATCCTAGATCACACCACTAAACCTTTATCATGTTATTTCTTAGTTTTATAGATATATTTTTGAGATTTGAATCCTCAAAGTTGAATTTTTATTTGGATATCTTCAGTTGTGGATGAAATGTTGTAGAGAGGTCAGGAGTTTATCTTTAGCAGAGGCAGATCCTCACATACTAAGTCTCACATGATGAAGTAGTTGAACTGAGTGATGGATTCATTTGGCATTTGTACATAAATCAAATGTGCACAGAGCTTGTATCTTAGAGTCTAAGGAGCCCACTCTGCAGCACTGTCATGCAATGGTGCCACTGTGTGGAAGTTTGCTGCACATGCAAGACCTGCTGTGATCAGTTCATCTCATGCAGTAGAAATTCTGCATGAGGACAGCCGTTCCCGCGCTTTAGGATGACCGTTTTTAATGTAGTGTAGCTAAGTTCAATAGAAAATATTGAACAAAAACACAGTCCTGAGAATGGATAATTTCATCCTCCAAATTTAAGCAGTGACCTCCAGGTCAGTTTAGGCCTTACCTTCATTATTCTGATTTTGATTTGCTGCTGCACTCATTAGATGATGATCATATTAAATTGGATTCATTAAGTGAATTTGTCGAGAGAAGTGACCTGATTGATCTGAACTCCTGCTTCCCTCAAACCCAATTTATTAGCTTCGACTAAATGCCATTGAGTTGGAAATGTTCCCAAATTACCCAACGTTGAATATTATGTATGTAAACTTTAGCATAACTGCTGCTGATTATTTAACTTTTTAGCATCTCTAACTTTTGACATTGTTGTCAAAACCTCAACACTAGTAATGATGTCCTGATTCTCCCTTTACAACCTGATCTTTACTCTTTACCCTGCTTTAAAAAGCTAAGCAGAAGATTGTTTATGACAGGAGGAGATAACAGATGGCGAGTTAAAGACAATAAAAAGGGATGACACATTATCCAGTGCATAAAGCCCTGGTCGTTTACTAACTAAACTGTCATTTTCTGTTTTAGACCTGCACATATTGTTCTACTCATGTAGTGAACTTTGAGATATTTCCACTGTTACTTAATTTTCGGGGGACATTTTAACATTTAAATACGTCTTTTGCAAACTTTCGTCAGCAGATCATCATCATGGTAGCCCACAAGCCATATCGTGTTGTGCTTATGTTTCTTGGATTTTTTACCCTTCTAACTGCAATCACATTAAATTCATTAACAGGATTCGGTGCTGACTCGGGTGAGTATTTGTCCGATTTACTACACTCTGAATTGAAGTGTCTTTTTAAAGGTAAAATACATAGTGTTTGTCTGAATACAGGTATTTTCCAGCAAAGCATAGAGGATGTGACCCTCATGTACACAACCCCCATCACTCCAGCTCAGTGGGCTATGTTTGTCTGGGATTTCATATATATTTGGTTTTTTTTCATGTTTATATACTTTTTAGCTGGACTCTGCAGAAGGTAGGCATCATTTCTCATTCTCTCATGTGTTATTTGAAAAAGATGATAATGCTTAAAACCAATACCACAACAGCACTATCTTTTTTCTTTATACTTTTATCTTATCCTCTTGTATTATTGCATGCTGAAAATTACTTCACCTAGTCCGGGGGCAATTTACTCCTTCACCATGCAATCCTTTTTTCTTTATATGCTGCAGATTGCTATATCTATGTATGAAAATGTCTGATTATTTCCCTGTAGACACAATTTGTTTGCCATGCTGTATTTTCTCCAGAAAATCTAACCATATTATTCACGCTCCCTGCAGGGATGCTTATGACTGGATGTACACCACACCTGCAGTGCTGCCTTATGGATTTCACGTCTCTGTTATCATCAACATTGGCTTGAATATCACATGGTTGTTTCTGTTTGATAGAGAGTAAGTATGTTGTCTTGGGTTACAGCAACCCAGAAAGCTACACTCGTTGAAAGTTGAATTTTTTAAGCTTACACGCCTTATTGTTTGTGTTTAGGTTGTTGCTGCCGGCACTGATAGTCTCAGCCTTAATTATGATCACGAGTTACATGATTCTTTTTTTCGCCTGTCATGGGATGAAGGTCTACGGAGCCTGGTTACACAAACATCGACATGCAGATCTCTGGCTCATCCGAATACTGGTATGCTGTCATCGTCAAATGTAGGGAAGTACAGTGGTTTGGTGCACTGACACTGTGCAGTAAAAGCTTGTAAAACAGCTATAACTCACATAACATTCAGCAAACAAAGGTGCTCTTTGGAATATCAGGCTACATTTCCGGCTTCATAAAACCAGGGTAGGAAATCTTCAATCCTACACCAAAAAACTCTCCAAAGGAGCTTTAATACCTCAAAATATAAAACCAGAAAAATACTGTACTTAACTATTACTATATTTCACAGCCAGTATGTAATGCCAGATTTGAAAAAGAAATCAGTGCATTAACACATTTGTTGATTTTGCTGTTTTCAGATTGCACAGAATGACAAATAACTTATTATTAAAAAAATTTTCAAAGCTCCAAAGCACCAGTTTTAAACTCTACAGCTTGTTTTCAGGTCTTGGAGACTTTCAGGGTCCCCGAGAGTTGCTGAAAGCAAAACAATCCCAATTACTGCTGCTTACATTTACCCACAGTGGCTGCGTTTACACAAATAATCTGAATAAATGCCTGATCGAAAAACAAAATGCGACGTGTAAACATGTCCTTTGGAAGATTCTGATCCGATTCGGCTCAATCGGAAAGAAATTGTAGTCCGATTAAGAGGGGTGGTTTATGTCGATCGTTAATCCGAAACGCGTCCATGTAAACACTTATTCAGATTGTGACTCTCTTACCTGAGAAGTAGAGGAAGTTTCATTACTAACACTCTAGCATGGAACACAACCACAGTTGCCATGTCTGCCCCTCCGGTAACACAACAAGGCGTATGTACAGCGTAATGATGTCACATTTGCACGCACAGTGCAACCTTTGACAGAACAGTAAAATAAGTACGCAAGGGCGCCATCTAGTGACAACATTTAACAAGGGGGAAAAACACATGAATTGGATGGAGTGAGCCACTACAGCGTTTGTTGGTTTGTTGACAGCACAGGCGTAAATACAACACTTTTTCTGCGGTTGTTTTGGCGAAATTAGACAACTCTGCGCATGTCCAAATGCTATTAATCTGGATAAAACTTGGTGCATGTATACACACGTCATGATCGGATTATTTGATTTTGCCTATAGTGGATTCAGATTATCCAATCCCTCAAAATTTTAATCGGATCAAGAAATTTTGCACGTGTAAACATGGGTAATGTTACATTTGAATGAGGCATCAAGTGGTATTTTTTTTTTACCCTAAATTTCAATGCAGTTAAGGGAATGGCTTCACATTCTCAAAAGGTGAGGGTGAAATCACATTTCATGCCTGATATTTCCTCAAGAAGCTACAGTTTGTAGGTGATTAGCTTAGCATGGGATAAACATTTGATAGTGAGGTTAACAGCATTCCCAGCCATGTCCAGTTGTTAAAAAAAAAGAAAAACATACTTTGGACACTAGCTTTTTTTCTTTGTCTGCCATGTTACAATGCCAGAACTCCTTCCCAAGAGATAGTACTGCTCTCGAAACCATGTCAACCACGAATAATGTTTTAAAGCCTTGAAATTACTCACTTAAAGATTGTTTTTTCCCTTTAGACCAAGCAAATGTCAACTCTCTGAGTTTCCGGTTTAGTGCTGAGCAATGCTTACCAGCTGCTTGCCACTGCTTAATATTCAATGCGTAGGCATGGCAGAGGAAAGTAACCCTCTATCTAGCCTAGGAGGCACTTTTCTGGAAATGTCAAACTATTCCTTCAAAGTGGTATTAAACATTGCACTCAGTAGCTTTCAGTTTGTTTGGTCCTTCAGTGACCCCTGTAAGTGTAGAAAGGAGGATGCCACTGGTCCCAAAGCTGCTGGCAGCTCTATCACCCATATCTAAAAGGTGAATCCTCGCCAAAATGCCCCGTAATGCTGAGAGCACACACTGTGGTCTGAGATAAGAATGTTGGAAACAGCTGAGTTAGTAAACAGAAAAACTTGAAATTGCTTTCCAGGTCCTTCTTGACTTGCACTTGGTATTAAAGTAGATGTGACAGATAAGGTTGTAGACAGTTGTAAACTGTTATTCGAAGCAGACAGAAAACCTGGCATATTCTTGAAGATAAAGATACTTCTCCTCTGACTATGATAGTGGTCCTGTTGTTATTTGTGTATTCTGGTCTCTCTGTCAAGACTGACAGCCGACAACCTGTCAGTCAGGTGTCTGTGTGTTACGTTTTTTCTTTGTCAATCATCCTTGTTCACATGCACAATAGAGTATCTAGTAAAAATAGTACAGTCCTTGTACATTTGGTATGATTTGGTTGTATATTCAACACTTACATTGCAAATTTCAGGCCATTCTTCCCAAGTGTTTCAATAAATGGAGCATTAATTTGGATAGGCACATGTTGTCACAACTGCTGTTTTTTTATCACCCAAGCCTCTTTCATTTTGTTGAATCAGGTGCAAAATGGAGTCGCAGTGTACACAACATGGGCGGCTCTCTCTACTCTACTCAACCTGACGATATACTTACAGCATCAGACAGATGCATTAAGATGTGACTGTGCGAGGCTGGCGATGGTGCTTCTTCTGATGCAGCTGTTAGCCTGGTGAGTCTCACTCCCTGCTGAGTTCTGTCATTTAGCTGTGGGTGTTTCTTCTTCCCCTGAGAGACTCCAGAGGAACAAAGGAACCCCAATCTTTTGTCTTTGTCTCTCTTCGCACTCAGGTTTCTGTTGGAGAACTTCTACCTTGATAAACATGTGCGCTATATTGTGACTATCTACCCGGTGGTGATCCTGTGGTTGGCAGGGGTCCTGGACAACTCCAACTCTCCTACAAGTCCCATTTACATCTTTGTAGGTACGGTATGACATTTGCATAGGGCACAAAATAGCCTCATATCTGCAGATAACAAACTTGATCATATTTATTGTTTAAAGCTCCTGAACTTCCTGTTATTTTCTATCATAATATTTCATATGGAAATTGTAAAATCAGGACTGATTCTTTAGCTTCTCCACTGACATCTACTCTCCCACACCAGTTTCAGGCATTAAAAATGACTACACAAAGATCATCAATCTTGTTGCTGATGGTCCTGTTTGTTTTTGGTTAATTTCACCTGTAAACATAAAAAAACTCCTCACAGTATCTTTAATATGAGTGTTTTGACCTCATTGTCCTTCCACAGCTTCGATCCTGGCTTTCTCCTGTGTCATGTTTGTCACACGTGTCGCTCTGGTCACATGGAGGCATCACAAACAACCACTTTACAGTGACAGCAGAGCGTCCATGTCTCCTGTAGAAATAGCCTTGACCCAGAGCAAACTCTGTCTCTGAATACAAGCTGAAAGACGCTGTTTTGTCCTCATCAGGATTTTTCAAGTTGGGCTTTTCTGGATGGCAATCTCAGGTAGTTTAATTAAAATATATCATGGTTGTACAAAAGTGAGCTTTTGGCTGAATGTGTGAATACTGTACATATGAAAACTAAACTCATACCACTCAAAATTAATAAACCTGCTTTTTTTATATAATAAATAAATGTCAAAATTATATAAAATGCATGTACAGAGTGTTTTCATGTGTAATGTGTATTCAAAACAAATTTCTTGGAATAAAACAAATTTCACTGTGCCAGTTTGAGTAGGGGTTTACACAGGAAAACATTTAAAGATCATCAAAATGTGATATTTAAAATAATTAAAACACAATTAAAAATCAAATCAAGAAAACAGGAGAATAAAAGGTTAAAATATGGTGACCTTTTCTAAGTAGGAGCATAAACGCTACAATAGAAAGCATATAATAAAATGGAAATGGACATCACAGTGACCTGCTTAAGTGATCTATAAAAAGCAGCTGAAAACAGGTGAGTCATTGACCTGGTAAGGCCAAATAAGCCAGTCCAGAAATAAACATCCAAACAACACAAAAGAAAAGATTACACTGTTATAATGAAATGTTAACAATGCAGAATACAGTTAAACGCAAGCAATGGAAAGTCACAGTAATTTTGTCTAAATTAAAGTCATAAAAACACCAGAAAAGCATATTTTTCAAAGCACAGGGAGACAATATTGTCTATTTGTCCCTAAAGTACAAAAACAAATAAAATCTGAAAAAGTCCTTACATTAGAGAAGCTGACTTCTTTTATTGATCCATGTTTTTGTTGGTTTGTCCAATAAAAAAATAATGTAATCACCACAACACAAACTCAAAAGGCTAGTTAAATGTTCTGTCAGCATTTCACTGTTGGAGCCAGAAAGTCCTCCCTCCCTTCTCCTATACAGACAAATAAAATCTCCCTCTCACAAACACACACGCTTTATGTGATATTCTTATTGCAGAGATTACAGGCCATTACAGGTCCAATCAAAGTGATAACACTGAATTTCACAGCACACACAGCCATCCAAAGTCCAATATATTTGATTGTGGTGACAAATATAGTCCCTCTCAGTCCTCTGAGCTGACAGACGCTACAATGAGGCTCCAAATGACTTCTGTTTCATCCAGAAACCGCTACCATGTAGTGATACATGCTGTGTTCATTGTTCTGGCAGTTATTACTCAGGTGATGACAAGTGTTGTTTTTAACCTGGGGAAGGACAGCTGGGTGCCAAATGGTAAGTCACTTCTTAACTGTGCTTTAAAATGATGTTATTCAGCCAGAAGGCAGATTCAGAGTTGTGAAATTTGGAAAATATCTGGTTTTAAGGAGCTGGTGTGTGCTCATTTTGGGATAGTTTGTGTTAAAATTCTACCAGGAAGGTTCATTTTGTAAGTAATTGAGTTGTTTATTGTCAGCTTTCTTTTTAAAGACAGAAGAAAGTATTACTTTTAGTTTTTTTCCAGTGATAAATTTAATGATAATGATCAGTTGCTAAATCTTGAGTTAAAGTTCTTGAAAAAAAAATGTGTACATGAACTCAACATGACACCTGTGTACTTTCAACAAAAGGGACTTCTGGCTTTGGAGCCACGTGCCTTGATAAAAGCCAATTAAACAACACACACACACACACACACACACACACACACACACACACACACACACACACACACACACACACACACACAACTGATATCTGAACATAAAATGAGATACAATTACGGTGTTTGCAGCAGAGTGAATATTGAAAATACACAAACCAAAGCACTGATTTTCTGATTTTTCCTCAAGCTATAAAATGTATCTGTTTTAAAAAAACAAAACAAGAATAAGTGATTATTTTTCTTGCCTTCCAGCTCTATTCAAGACATCACACAGGAATGTATCAGAGACCTTCCCTCTGGAGGTGACGATGGACTGGTGGTCACAGCTGTACTGGAATATGATCGACGTCTGGTCCACAGTTTGGCTCTTCTATGGAGTGGTCGGCCTCCTCAACAGGTAGCATGGACACTGTTACAGTTACAGCTATGTTGAAGGGTGATCTACCAGAGAAACTGTAAACATTTACAATTTGAATGGAAGACTAAAAGGGCAGACTGTGTGATTGAAAGGTAATAATAGAATGTGAAAGGCAGAACTGAACTTCATTATGCAGAATCATTTTGAGTACGCTTGTAGAAGTTCGGCTAAATGTCAACTCTCATTTAAATCAAAGTTGTCAAATAATTGTAGGTTATATAAAACTGCAAACAAATTCAGAGCAAGTTTAATCTTAATGTATTTACAATTTTATATGTTGTAAGATTATACAAAATCTGACTGAAGCTTCACGTTTACATAAAACTTTAAGAACTTCTCAAGATTTCCAGGTTAGGCTGCATGTGTGAACGCACACAGTTTATGTTTTTGGCCCTCAAATAACTGTGTCCAAGAGGGTCAGAGATGATTGCATGTGACTGGTGCAAACTTCTAGATTTTTCAGGGCGCACGTGTGAAAGAATCCATAAAGTTACTATGGAATTTAAAATCAGAGCCAAACACTGTTCACACCTCTGCATGTATGGTGACTTTTTTTTTCTAGCTTATGTAAAAGCTGATAACAACCAGGCTTTACAATACAAAACGAGTCTATGGCATTTATATGGGCCACGTTTTATATGAATCAATTTCGTTTCACTTTCATGTTACATGTATTTTCTCAGTTTGATCACATAGCTCGCAGTGAATTCAACATCAAATTAGAGACCACTTCTGTTCAACAAACAAGAATCTCCTACCATCTGTTGATCTAAATTAAAGTTGTTTTTTTAGTTTTCTCTCACTAATATGTGGATTGCACTCTCTTGCAAGACAGAGCAGAAGAACCCTCTTCAAAATGCTGATCACGACCAATAAGACTACAGGCAAGAGAGGCACTCCTTCCCCCGAGACGACACAAAAATCAACAAATAAATAAAACAAAGCCAGTGCAGTCTCTACACCTCCATTGTTTTGCACTTGATTCCCATAGGGCCCTTGTTAGTAATGTATCTGCCTGCCTGGATGAAACTTGCTCCTTGTCCACAGGTTCTCTACATAGTGCTTATTTTGCTTGCTAACTTGCGACTTGCCAAGCTAACATTTCGCTTTGCCCAGTTCCCACTATGACTTGGCATGTTGCAGTTCTAACATCATTCACGTCATTCTCCCATCTGTAGAGATGCTCTCGGCCCTGAGTCTTGCAACCCAGACATCCATCCTCCGATGTTTTATCTGATGTGGACCATGATTAATATTTCCAGAATGCTGAGCATGTCTTTGTGGGAGAGTCAGTAAGTTGTGTCAACTAAACTACATAAGATTTACCCTCACATAGAAATATGTGCCTCTAAAGGCTACTGTGTCTTTCTACAGCGCGATCAATGGAACTTCTATGGTTGGGTGGATCCCTCCTGTACTCAGTTTCTACATGCTCTATGTGTCCTACTCTAACCTGGACAAGCACAAAGCCTGGCTGTCAATCAACAGACCAGCAGTGATCTCATGGACACGATACCTGGTGAGGATGCTACATTACCAAACCAGCTTTGTTGTTAGATATATTCTGTGTTAAAAGTGGTTGATTTGCAGATATTACTGTATCACTATATGAAGGAGTGATTTTTAATATTTCTATTTTGTAGATCCAGAACGGCTTAGCAGCATTTGCCTGGTGGTCTCTCTTAAATTATTTGGTGGGCCTTGGCATTGTGTTCAAGTACAGTGCAGGAATGCCAGACCCACTGATCAGCACAGCAGTCCTCACATTAGTCTCTTTGTGTACTGTAACATGGTGAGAATGAAAGACTAAATATGCATTTTAATGTGATTAATTTGCCCTTTTGTTCGCAAGGCAATGGTTTTTGTTGCTCCCTCCCTCCCTCAGGTTCCTCCTCCAGAGCTGCCTGTTGAAAAAGTATCTATGCTACACATTCAGTGTCTATCCTATGCTCATCCTGGGCCTGGGCGCCATGTTCACCAGAAGCTATCGCATCCACGACCTCGGAGCAAACACTGTCTTTTGCGGTAAATGTCACCACAGAGCACAAACGCATTTAAATATAATCAAATCTGTCCTTTTGTCCTGAACACATCCCTGACTTTCTCTTATCTTTAGGCCTCCTCATGATCCTGATGACCATCCTGAGCATTACCCATTTAATCTCTGAATGTTTGCGCCAAGATAACTCAAGCACTGTGGAGCCCAATGTGACATTTGTGGAGACAGTGTGGCAGCCTGAAGGCAACATGAAAAACAAACTTCCAAAGTGCTGACATGAAGAAAGCTCTGTGCGATACATCTCAATAAACAATACAATAAAGATATGTTATGGAGTGAGTGATAATCTGTGAACATGCATTGAATATTCATTGCCAAGAGGGGGCAGCATATATCCATTTCTCACAGGGATTGTGAGAGAAGAAGTGGAGCTCCAGAGAAACAGGAGATGACCCAAGCTTTTAGAGGAAGATTCCCTTAGTGTGGGGAATAAAATATCCACGGCATTAGATGAAAATGTATAAATGCAGAATTAACTATTTTATGTTTTTAAGGGTAACTTTTATAACATATTTCAGTCAAAAAAAAATTTTTTTAAACGTGAGCAGTGCATGGAGGAGGTGGCAGAAATAAGAATTTTTAGCCATTTTACGTAATTTTTTTGTAGTTCAAACACCAACAACAAAAAAAGGTTTAAATAATCTGCCTCAGATCTTTGGACCTCTGTGTGACTTTGCTTTGCACCACAAGGGACAATCACCAGTGCTCAAGTTTTCAAGTGCTGGAACGGCGCTCGACCTTTGATGGGGACACTGAGTCAAATAAAACTGAAACTAGTCAATAAAGTAGTCGGTGCAGGACAGAATAAAAAAGCTCATTCCTTCATTTACTGACAGCACAGTTGAGCAAATAGGCCTATCTGCATCTATATAGCACGGTTTTGTTTAGCATCTACAACATGCAACTTCTGTTTGATCATAATTTGATTAGGAATCACTGAAGAATCTGCATCATGCATCCAAATGAAGGCTTAAATGTCACATCTCCTGTGTTATTTGTGCATCACTGAGAAACATCAGAGTGTAAAAGCTCCTCCTGTTATGAGCAGATGTTTGTGACCCTGGTCATAAACTCATAATAGCGATTTACTGGCTGCATCATTAAGGTAAAGTCCCATAGACTATTATTATCCCCCGCGTTATGATGCAGAACTGATTCTCTTTCAGGGTCATGGGTGAAAGAAGCTGAGTTAGAGCACACAAGAGTGGAAAATCTCTAATTACAAATAACATCAGTGTAACTTACTGTTGTTTATGTTTCACGAGAGTAATTTTGCTCTAAGATACATGAAAAACTGCAGGAATTATGCAGATCTGCAGTGATGTTTGATTTCAACACTATAAGGAGGAGGTCTGTTGGAAAGTTATTCTGAAGTTTCTTTTATGCTTCTGTGAGAAACTTTTGGATTGCATTGATCTTGGCGCCCCTCACAGACAGAGTGACACTTCTCTACCTATCAGCTCATCTTGTCCTGTACATGTCGTACCGATTCCTGACAAAAAAAAATTACTCACTCTGCTGTGAAAAAGAGTTCAGAACGAGAACTGTTTCATAGGCAGTAATTTGTCTGACACCCAGGTGCATCGCTCATATCTCTGAGCCCCATAAAAAGTTATCTCAGTCAGCCCGACTACCACAACCCAGGCTTACCCTGCAAAACGATCATAATCCACCACCATGATACAAAAAGAAGAACTTTTTTCAGCCTTTAATTGCTAGTTTATAAGAAATACTGACCACCTATTTAGCAGGTGGGTGGAAAACATTGGAGGCATGTGCTCACACCTTATTATTAAAGTCTAAATATGGAGTCTTACCGTGAAACAAATTGCTCTTCAAACTTTGCAGGATCTCACCTGCAGTACAGTTTGTGAGTAACCCCAAGTTGAGGACAATCTATTTTCACCTCTAACAACATAACACATCAGCTCCGTTGATTAAAAATAGCTTTAGCTCTCTATCTCAGTGGCTCAGTATTATTACAAAGCGGTGTTGAAAAATGCTTCCATGCGAGGAGAAAATGAGATTCCCTGCTGCACCATTTAGCAGCCCGTATCAGATTAAAAAGGTTCAATCAAATTTCCTTTAGAACTTATTTTCATGTCCTCCCTCCCTTCTGTCCTGGAAAAACAGTTTTTAAAAGTACCAACAGGTGCTCAAAGTAATTTAAAGATGTTAGATGATAGGTTGTGCCAAAGGTGCCGGCAAAGTCCATTAAATTGCTTCATGGATGTGATTCCTGTGCACGTTGCTCTGTGGTGTTATCACACTTTCCCTCCAGAGCACAGAGGCCAGATCCTCCCTGGAGTAAAACACTTGGGGGCAGAGGCAGACGTGGAGGAGGAAATTGAGGTGTTTTAATGTCTGGCGGGCTTGTAATTGTTTCTAAACTCTCAGAAGACCTTTTTTCTCCCTAAAAGAAATAACCTAGATATGCAAATGCGCATTCCCAATTAATTTAATTCATATAATTATGCGGAAAAAAGAGACTGGGTTGAAAGAGACAGTCTAACCACCTTGTGCCGACTTGTCCTCCCACTCTGCCCTCCTCCTCTTCGCTCACTCTGCAGGCTACGGCTAAATTAGCCCAGAATATTGAAGCATGCTCGGCTATGCAGATGAGCGGCAATTATCTCTGACATTTTTACTGAGTGGTCTTCAAGCGTCTCCGAATCAACAAACACTGAGTTGGTGGTGGTAATCAATACAAGTAGAGGTTTTAATGCAGTGACTGAATGCATAAACATGACCCTCTGACCCCGTTTCCTCTGCATTTTAATGATTTCATCCAAAATTCAGCTTATGCTGAGATTTCACTTCTCTTCTTGGAAATCTTGTTTTTTTTTAAGTTCCCCTGAGCACAATTCCTGTCTCTTCAGGTGCACTGACAACCTGTTTTATACAAGGTTCTTTCATTAAGTTATTAATTGAGTTTTACTGATGGAAAATATGATACCAAAATCAAGGATTTCTTTGGTTTGTGCTATTTCAAACTTTTTCATAGAAGTTGCTGATTGATGTATTTCAGATTACAAACTTTTAATGTGCTGAAAATATAAATGAAAAATGTATTCAAAGATTCAAAGTCTGTGGAAATGTTTCCATTCAAAAGTAAATATAAGGATATATAAGAGGCACAGGTTTAGCTCCGAGGTTAAATCCTGTGCTTCATGTCACCCCACACTCTTATACTGTCCTATCTCTTTTAACAGAAGCATAAAAAACACACCTCCAAACTTCACTTTCACAAACAACTATCCCACTGAGCATTTTTTGGTCCAAAAGAGGTCTTATAGACGTCTAAATGTAGCCTAGAAGACTGGTCTAAAATCAGGCTATCACAGGTCTAAAAAGTTTTTTAGACGTCTAAATTTAGACCAAGTTTAGACCAGCCGGCTTTATCTATACTACACTGTATATTGCTCAAAGGCTATCATTACTTTGTTTAAGTACTTGGAGATCAGTCAGGCAACTCACTGTTGTTTTTTGAAATAAAGAGTTATCGAATAACGGGTTAAAGTGCAACGTCTAAATTCCATCTAAAAGTATACAGAATCTAGACGGTTGAAATTAGGTCTAAAAATAACTAGACATCTAATAGCAGTCTACTGCTCATTGGGATCTTAAATATGCATTTATTTTTAATTAAAATTATAGCACAAAAAAATGCTTTTGATCATTTTCTGATACCTAAAAATAGATTTTTATGTCTAAGAACATCCTGCTTTAGTCAAATTTTCTTGTGTAAAATTTCATGTAAAGATCCCCCAGCTGAGTTTTACATTGTAATTTGAGGACACTGACAAAATTCAGTGTACAATCTCTCCGAACATTACGAGCACTTATGTAGTCAGTGCACCGCTTTCATTACAGCAGGTACTTTACATCTCTGACCTAAACAAAGACGCTGAAGGACAGATTCGGAATAAATGCATATCTATTGGTATTCAAAAAGATGAGCAGCAGATAGGACAACAACAACAACATGCACGTCAATTTATTTGCTTCCCCTTGAAGCAAACAAACTTTAACAATCTTCACTATTACAACCGTGGCTCAGTGATGCCAATTAGCATGCTCAGACAATTAGAATATATGTAAATGCTTTGATTTAATTAATCCCATGACAGTTAGACTAATTAGCTGGTAATCCCACACTCCTCATGTTCCATATTTAAGACAAACCCACTCGGTCCAGATATGGGGACAGCACACACCAAAGAGTGAAATCTGTAGGAATAATTATGACTTTAAGTTGATGATTTTTTAAACTAGATGGGGCTAATTAGTGGTGATGTGTTTCTGTCGGTGCAGACGAGAATTTACCGACAAAGTCTTCCAGGATTCAGGCGAACCAACATGGAACTTGTTGATGTTAATCAAAAGAAACAGACTTTCATTTACAGCTGTGATTAAAAGAGTGATAATTGTAGAGAAGCAGTTCTCTGGTGGTTTTATGGAGGACTTTTAAAACAAAGAAAGAAATTATCATTCTAAAGCTGAGAAGCCCAAAAGTCATCAAACACTTATGGATAAAACATACGGCCTTATCAGAAGATATTTTCCAAGTCTTTGATTTCTAAATCAACAAAGTATAATCACTTCAGTTTTTATTGCACAAGAGTTATTTATCACTTTTATACACTGTATTTTGGTAAACTGCATTTTAAAACTGTTCTCTTACATTTTAAACTACACAAAACCTGATTTGGATCACAACCATTACACACTGTGAAGGTTTTATAATTGTTTGATTGTCTGGTTTTTCTTAAAGCTCCTGTGTGGAGTTTTATCTGGTTACAAATCAGACTTAATCTACAGGTGGGGTAGGGAGGATCTGACAAGAAACACTTCTGTTACAGACACTTGGCTTATTTTGTTAAAGCGGTTCACCTGTCCAGCAGAAAGGTTACAGGGTCCGTAAGATCCCGAAGTGACCCCCATTGTTTATGCTGATGTTAACCCGTTTTTTTAGCTCTTGTCCAGTCAGTCTCCGGTATTTATATCTATGTTTTCTTGCTTGTGTTTTGTACACTACCTTTGTGAGGGAGCAGCATCTGCCTCACAACTAATATAGAGCAGCGTCCGCCTTACAACCAATCAGGTTGGGGGAGGCGGAGAATGGCTTTGTTTACAGTCAGAAAGAGCGGCCGCTCAAAAATTTAAAATGTTGACTACACAGACATAACAAAACACAGCGATATCGTAATATTAC